CGGATTAATTTTGCGCCAGCTTAGAAGTATCTCATGGAAATGTTACTAACCCATCTAACACTTCATTTTAGAGGGCTGTCTACCATCTAGACTTTCTCCTTCTGACCTCTGACAATCCACTCGGCCAACTAAGACATTATGGAAAGCAAAAATTACAAACCAGTTAGGAATTGATAACCATTATTCTATAGATAACTTCTTCTTAAAAAATTTATTTCAACAGCACAAAAAAGTACACACATTTTTGTGGCTTTCTACGGAATTTACTTGGTAACGTATTTAAAGCGTATTATTGCACAGAGTAAATATGATCTGTTTTTAATAGAACTTTGCCGAAAAAAGGGAATCGATAGGTTTCAAGTAGAGGTGTTTTTGAACGGTAGCAAGTCTCTCATTAATCTTTGCTATATCTCGTCAAAGCTGTGTGTAGACAAGATGTCAAGCAGTAGAGATGTAAATGTGTAACGTATCGCCGATATTCCTGGATCGATTCACATGCGCGCAGCGAAACCTCACCGATTGATCAAAAAATTTAATAAAATGTTCAGGTGGCGGAGCGTATTGACGACATACGAAGAATGGGTGTAGCAAGGAGAGATGCTCTGGCAAAGATGGTTGAGCGAAAACCTGTGCAAGTAGTAACTCCGGAAAAGACGCAAACTGCCGTTGAAGAGGTATGTTAAGCGAGACGATTACAAGTATTGTAAAGTGGTACGAGATAGTAAAAGCGCCTTTGGATGCCCAAAATCATAATTTCAGTCAATGCTTGTAGTTTTTTCTGCCTTCACATAGTACTGATTACGCAAATCGTATAGCATGTGATGGAGTGATGTAGAAGTCTTCTTACTATATGTGTGGAAGTTAATAGGCGTTGTAAAGTACGAAAAATGAGGTAAGAAAGCCGAGAGAAAGTAGTTGTTGGCAAACGATGGCCATTCGTTGCATGTTAATGGCTTATAGTCGAAAATCGCTCATACTTCGCAGCATTTTTCTAGCGTTCGTCGTAGTGTAACAAGCAAAAATTGCGCACTGCCATGATGGCATACAAGAACAAGAGAACTCGAACATAAATGAGTTTACATAAATTCAATAGCAGAAAGGATGTATGAAGGAATTGCTTTTCTCTTACGAATTGTGTTTACAAACTGCTAATGATTACAACCGCTACTTCACCACAGCATCAAACGTTCTTTGTTTCCCATAACAACCTGCCCGTTAAACGCAAGTCCTCGTAGGATTCTTCTTCCGCTTCCGCAGTTCTGACCTCAAAAGTCTCTTCTACATCTATCGCAGCGTGAATGCATGAATAAAAATCATTGGGAAATCATCTAGGAACAATTAAACTATCAATGACCCATATCTTTCCCACGTCGTCACTCTGCAAACATTTTATGCAAATGATTCCTCATTAAACACCTCAGTTAGCGCAAGATTTGCATATCATACAGAGAGAGCAAACAAACTTTTTACATGTGCTGGGCGGAGTAAAAGCGATGTAAATGAAAGCGGACGGATGTGGTGCCAGCCTCGGTCCGGATGAGGGAAGCTACTGATCAGACGCCCTTAGAGTTTTCGTGACCTGCACCCACTGCAGCCAGAATTGATTGTTCTCGAGTGTACGGAAAGCTTACTTTTCTTTGTATTCTTCTAGCCTCTTTTAACTGTGCTCCTCACAAAGAAGTAGGATAAAATAAATAAATTTTTTACCTGCCGCCTGAAAAAACACCACCGCGGTGCAGCGGATGTTTTCGCTGGAGGTGTATAACATCGACGTGAGGTCGCATTCAGAAGACGTCCAATAGCCCTTAGGTTCTGCGTTGGCGCGCTATTCGCGCCTCCTCCTCCTCTTCGCTGCCGCCCCCCCTTCTTCGCGTAGTGCGCACCAGGCCGATTGCAATATTTGTGCGATTTTCATCGTCACCGCTGCACCTCACTGTTGTTTCTACTGCTGCTACCTCATCACTGCCCTATTAGTAATGAAAAGGTCGTTGCCTCGTTTTTTATCGTTTCGAAGGCCAAAACGACGCTTGGTTAACTCACTGTCTGCACCACTTATTTGGTCCACTAGTGACTCTACAATATGCGCCATCGACAACAATAACGACTGTCATATGGTGGGTACCTTTGATCTGAGTTCTAATCGATTTGATGCCATTCATGGTGGTCTACGAACATGTGTTCGAGTGTTTTGTCGCATCGCTCTCTACAAGCGAAGCTTATTCTTTTCTGATCTAGAATGTTCCTCAATGATGAATGCTCTTTTGTTGCTGTTATCCCATATGGCGCGTTCCCGCGCTCCATCTTTGACTCGTTAGTGCGAGTTCATTTTGGGTGCTTTCGGCTTTTGGATCTTTAGTGCAACGTGCTATCCAAGAATGCGCAACTATTAATAGTCACTTTGTCGAACCCAAATCTTCGTGGCCATGTGAAACGGCGTTATTTGTGGCATTTACGACGGCTCAACACATGGTTTTGATTCAAGCGCATGCCTACGCTAATAGCTAAGGGGTGGTGGCTCGTCAAAAGCTTCACGAGCGCAGTTCCCGTTTCAATTTCGACTGTTTTGTTGTGCGAACACCTATTAGGCGTGCTGTTGC